TTCTGGCAAGGTCTTCATAATTCAAATACTCGAGATAGCTTTATGACTTCCCAAGACATAAATGCCTGTTTGTGCTGTGAGGACACACAAGCTTTACTATGGGATTCAGCATTGGCCAATTTCAGAAATACTTTAAAAAATTTTTCACTTTAATATTTTTTAAAACTGTATAAGCTTAATTTGCTAATTCAAAGTATATAGTTTTTGGTAATGTCATGCAGCTAATCTAAATTTGTAGTAAGTCAGCATTTAATTCATAGCCATTTTTCTATAATTAGACAACTAATGGTCCTACAAAAGAATAAAGTATGTTAGACGTATTGGTTCTCAGACACAACATTTTATACTGATGCAGGTCTGTGGGATCACAGGAGAAAAGAAACTAAACTCACGTGAAACGGAGAGATTTCACCAAACAGGTGTTGGCAGGGTCAGAGCTCATTAGCAGATGCTGAGGACCCACAGACTGACAGACCTCCTGGCCTTGGGCAGAAGATGGAAGAAAGTGTTCCCAGAGCACACTGCTCTGGAGAGGAGACAGGGCCGCTGGGTAGGGGCTGATGACTGAAGGGAGACATCACAGCCAGGATCTTGCAGGGTCGTTTTTTTCCCCCCGCACCCCCTGGCTGCACTAGGAAGAGGGCAGGCAGGTACCCCAGCTTCTTCTCCGATCTCTTGTGGTATCTTTCGTGAGCCAGAACCAACTGACAGTTCTAAGAGGGCAGCTGCCACGGCAAGAGTAGGGCAAGGAAGGGCGGCTCAGTGGAGGCACACAGGGAGAGTGACGGCATATGCATCTGTTACCGAGGCCTGACCTGCAAGAACCAAGCACGTGCCTCTGATTTAATTTGCAGTAAGTCTGCTAGAAAATACCATCTGGAAATGCTCTTCTTTGAAAGGAATTTTTAAAAAAATACAGTCTCTATTTTCATGTTTCTGCATTCTCCATCATTAAAGATCTATTCAATTTTTTCCAGGTTCAAAGATCTCTGGTTAGCAGCCTTCTCAAAGGCTCATCCGAGAGCTCTCTGAGCTATGGGGAATCTTCATATAACTGTAAATGAACATACAGTGCAGGGGTTTACCAGAGGCCCTCCTAAAACTGGAGATAACTTCCAAAATGGCGATCCAGTCACCCACAATGACAATACCAAACAACTCCTCACACATTAAATGTGAAGTGTACTAATTTCATATGTGTAGAGTGTGTGTGTGTGTGTGTGTGTGTGTGTGTGTGTGTGTGTGTGTGTGTTTTATCTTACCTTCTGATTACAGGATAAAGATAAATAAGGAAGAGTCAAAGCCACCATTTTCAAGAAGCCTGCTCAGCAGAGCTGGAGGCAAAGGTGAGAAACGGTTCTCACTGCTGGCTGCTGTGGAACACAGAGCCTGATTTTGCACACCACTGGCACTCCACGAATGTCTCCTGAACTGGCTAAACCTTCGTCTGTCTCCATACTCAACTATTGAAAACAGCACAAAATTACTTCTTGGGAAAAAATCCAACTAATGTTTGAAGTTGCATATACATACATACATACATACATACATACATACATACATACATACATTTCTGAACATGGTAAGAAAATGTAGAACCTGGTATAAGAGCCAAAAGCAATTTATATGTATTTTTTAAACAAAAAAATTAAAAGCAGAATGTTAAAAACCTAGTCTTCACTAAACAAAAGGCTTAGTTTTATTAAAAGTGTTCAATTACAAGGTTAATTTTGAAGTAAACCTTTAGGACTGGAAAGCAAAAATGTTACATCTACCATGGGAAGGCAGGTTTTGGTGAAAGCTGAAAGACTATTTCATACTTGGAATAACTTATGATCAGACCCATACTTTGTAGGATATCTGTCTCCCAGGCACTGATCTGAAATGGCCTTTGATACCCTAAATGTAACACTCTTAAGAATCAAGCAGTCCTTCCCTTTTGCTTTAAGAAAAAATGAACCAAATCCCAGGGATCAGCACTGACTGCACCTTTTTACCAAGACTACAGAGAGGAAATCCTGTTTGGTGTGGAGAATCCATTTTGATTTAACAAAGGAACGAGTCCTGTGAAAAAAGACATCCTTTCCTGGATGCGCCCTCTCATCCGCAGGCTGTTCTCCCTGGGATGAAAGCAGGGGAGCAGGGCTGCTGGAGCATGATGCCTGTGGATGCTGCTCACGTTGACTTCCTTCTCAAAGCTCAGCACACAGCAAGAGGAAACTGCCTTGGAGTTCACCGCAATGCAAGGCCGGAGTAAAGGAAAGCTAAAGCAGTTCAAATTCATCATGGGTAATCTGTAGTTCACTAAATCTTTCTACCATGTTAATTTGCAAGCCTCACGGAAGCAGTTTTTAATACTTCATACCAGAACGCCGAGACAAGTTAAACCTCACAGCCGAACATTTCAGAAACAACCAATTCTTTTTATTATTCCAACTCAATTTTTCATTTGTTCGCATCATTTGATGAATGTTAAGGAATTTTAGGAATCTATCTTCTGGAAACCTAAAAAAATGAAAAGATAAAAACTAATTCCAACAGAGTTTTGAAAAAATTGAAAGTTGCAATCAATTGTTGATACGTATTTTGTTCTACCGTATGAGGTGCATTTTGGCTTTAAGGCTAAACCTCAAAAAGCATCATGAAAAACTGTCCCATGTAAAAATGGTTCTGAGATTTTAGCTGCAAGTATTGACAAAAGCAGGCTGTTTCTTACTGGGACTAAGGTGACAGTACCTCGTAAAGGTTTATATCATAGAAAAACAATCTGTCCGAATATGCAGCCAAAGCCTGAAGAGAGCCTAGTATCCAGATGTGCTGTACCTTAAAGGTCAAGACAACCCCAGGCATTTGCCATTGACCAAGTAAAAATTTTAAGCCAGTCTGAACTGGTGCTGCCACCTGCCCCTAAAACAGCAAGTCTCAACTTGTGAGTCAAGACCCCTTCAGGAATCCAAGGACACTTTCACAGGGGTCGCGGACCAGATAGCCATGTTATGACTCATAACAGTAGCAAAATTACAGCTATGAAGTGGCAATGAAATAACTTTATGGATGGTGGTCATGACAACATGAGGAATTGTATTAAAGGGTTGCAGCACTGGGAAGGTTGGAAGCCACTGCTCTAGAAGGATCCTGCCTCTAAAAACATGAGCAGCCTAAAAGAGTCGGACATTTCTAATGACTTCTCATCTGCATGGCATTCTTTAGTCATCTCAACTCAGGACAGCATATACTTATAACATTACATTAACATTCATTTATTTTTCATACAGTACCCAGGAAAGGGACGAGGGAACTAGGGGCATGATGGATTTGAAATAAATCTCACATGGAGAGACGTGGAGGTCACAGGCCTTCACAGATACTCATCAACTGAAGAGGGTAAGGCCCGAAGTGAGTCACTGATTTGGGAACGGTACACCGCCAGGCTCTTGCAAGTGACCCAGGCTAGAGATCATGAACAGCCTTATGAGAATGGCTCACACAGGCCACAGGGATGGAAACAGGTCACAGGTAGGAGGTTCTCCCACTGTTCACTGGGACAGGGAAAGAAGCGCTGAGTTTTGAAGGCAAGGAAGAAAACAGAGGATGGGTCAATTAAGCTTGTCTGCAGAACGTACATGCAAAGAAGGCCTGCAGGCCTTGAGAAGTACAGGTGTGGATAGAGAGCGATGATATGTAAATAGAAGGAATCCTTGACATTAGGTTGTAGTCCAGCAGTGGGCACTGCTCACTAACGCCTCCTCGGAGGGCAGGATGCACAGGCTAGCTGAGGACAATCATCCCTGTTTATGTGCTCCACGAAAACAGAATTCTGACCCCCATGTCTTGCTCTTGGTTGCACCCGACTGGGCATCACTCAGCAGGTGCTAGGAGACACTCCAGTGGCCAACAATGTCGCTAGTGGGCAGGACACTGCAAGGCTAGGTTACTGCTCCCGCGAGTGTTTTCCGGACACCTTTCAGGGTTAGAGCCGTCGCTTCATTATCCAGCTCTCACCTTCTATTTTATGCCAGAGCATGAGAACATTAGGCATACCCACAGCTGGCAATGCCTTCTGGGGATTTCTCAAAATACAGGAGCTGGAAAAAGTATCCTGTTTTAAAGTGCAACTGCTGCTTGTTCGTCCACCCCTTTCCTCTGGCACTAACAGGCAGGGTTCAGAACAGAGGCGGAGGTCTGCTATTGGGTTTCCTCCGGTGATTCTTTAATTTGCTACTAAGAAAAAAAAAAAATCTCCGAGAAAGGAGGCTGGGGAAGCAGCTAGGTGTGGCCGTTCCGGATTTCCGAGGCCAACACGGGAAAAGCTGCCGGCCTTGGCACCAACAGCCCGGCCAGCATCGCTGCACTCAGCGAGGTTCCTGTGGCGGGTGGCCGCTGGAGTGCTCCTGCCGCGCACAAGTACCAGCCCTGCCCGCTTCATTCTGGATGCCACGCAAGGTCCAAGGTCCGCGGCCCTCCGGCCTCGGCCTACCTGTCTGCGTTCCTGCCTCGAGGCGCGGGACCGGCCCGCCTCCGCGGCTCCTTTCCTCACACCAAGTGAGGATGTATTTTCATTTTGCTTTCGAATACGTGTGTGGTTTAAGTCTACGGGGCGGGGGGCAGTGCACAAGGCACGCCGGAAAGGCGCACAAGCTCATATGGACGCGGACGCAAAACATGTTCCAAGAAGCAAGGAGGAAACTACGGGCTCTTGCTTCGCCCGCGGCGTCCCGGCGCGAGGCCCACCTTGTCTCGTCCGCACACCTGCCCTCGAGCGAACGGGTCCACGCGTGACCCCGGGTCGCTCGGACGTCCAGCCCGCGCCACGTGCGCCCCCCGGGCCGCCACGCAGGCCCCGCCCCGCACGTACGTGCCCTTAACCAGCCCGCGGCTGCCGCTGCCCCGCGCGCCCGCGCCCACGGGGGGGCGCTCCTGCCCGCCCCCCGCACCCGCGCGGCGCCTCTTGGCCGGTGTGATCCTGCACTCGCGACCCGCCGCCGCGCGCCACCTCCTACCTGAGAGCCCGCGAACAGGGCGCGCGAGGAGGTCGAGGCGGCTGTGGGCAACGCGGCCAGGGAGAAGGCTCGGGGCAAGCGGCTGCGGTGGACTGTCCGGGAGCGCGCGCGCGCTCCCTCCCTCGCTCCCTCCACCGACTCCCGGCCGGAGCCCAGCCCCGCTGCCGCGCGCCGCCCGCCTCGCCGCGCCTAATAACAACGGCGCCCTGGGTCAGGTGGCCGCGCGCGGACAGGGCAGCCATTGGCTCGACGGGGAGCGCGGTGCGTCGCGATTGGCTGGGGGGCGGGGCCCCGACGGAGGCGGGGCGGGGCCGCTCAGGGAGGCTGGCTGGGAGGGGCGGGGGCGGGGCCAGGCTTGGTCCGCGCCTTTGTGCCCGGCGCGCGCTCTCTGCCCGCTCCGGCTGCAGCGCCCGCTGCATCAATAATTCAGAGCGGCGGCGGCGGCGGCAGCGGCGAGTGCGGACAGGAGGCGGCGGCAACAGCGGGGACCAGGCGGCAGAGGCTATGCATCCAAGTGCGGCTGGGCGGCCGCGGCACCCCTGAGGCCCGGGCGGGGCTCCGGGTGCACCGCGCGAGGGGACGTTTGTCCTGGAGTCCGAGGGAGAGGCGTAGCGGCCCGGGAGGCGTCGGAGGAGCTGTACACAGAGCTGAGGAGGGGGCTTCGGAGCAGGGCTGGGGAGGGGGGCGGCTGGCGTTGGCAGCCCCCGGGGTGGGGGGCGGGGTGGGCGCCGGCGGCGCGATGCTGGGCGTCGTGGAGCTGCTGCTGTTGGGGGCTGTGTGGCTGGCAGGCCCAGCCCGCGGGCAAAATGAGACAGAGCCCATCGTGCTGGAGGGCAAGTGTCTGGTGGTGTGTGACTCCAACCCCACGTCTGACCCTACGGGCACTGCTCTGGGCATCTCCGTGCGCTCGGGCAGCGCCAAGGTGGCTTTCTCTGCCATCAGGAGCACCAACCATGAGCCGTCCGAGATGAGTAATCGCACCATGATCATCTACTTCGACCAGGTGAGTTCCCCGTTCTCTGGCAGCATCCAGGACGGATTGGTGAAGGGGTGACAGGGAGAGCGTGGAAATCAGATGTGGTATCTTCTCCAAGGGCTCTGCGGAGGCGCGAGGACCACGCTGGAACGGGCTCCGGTCTATCCCCTTTCGTTCCTGTCTCCCTATAGGTACTAGTGAACATCGGGAACAACTTTGACTCAGAACGGAGCACTTTCATCGCCCCGCGCAAAGGGATCTACAGTTTTAACTTCCACGTGGTGAAAGTCTACAACAGACAGACCATCCAGGTCAGCTGCCACCTGGGGGCCAGGCTCTCAGTAGGGGGTTGCTGGCCGTAGGGGTCTGTCGAAGGCTTTGTAGCAGCGGGAGGCAGGAATCAGCGGCACACGCCCTGGCTGCTCCGGGGACGGATAGCAGGGCCTCCTGGTTCTTTGGTATGCATCACTCCTTAAGCTGTCCCGGGTTTCTGAGACTCAATTACATCTCCAGAGACAGTTTTCTGGCCTTCGCTTTCCGAGCCCTTCTGTAAAGGTCCCTCGGTTTTCCTTAGTGACTCCGGGGACTTCCTTTAAGGGTTGTTAGTTCCACAGACAGCTACGGCTTCTGTAAGATCTCCTCCACGCCCGCTTTCTAGGCTCAACAATTCTCTGCTGCCCACAGCCTTTTTGGCGGCTTTTCCGCTTTTCGTCAGCCCTGCGAACAGAATCTCATTCTCTAACCCTACAGCCTTCCTTTGCAGATTTGTTTTTAAACTTGAGTGTCTAAGGGTGGACAAAAGAAAAAGGTCGAGGTGGGGATGGGAGGGCTAGTGCTACTTCCTCCTGGTCCAGCCGTGTTCGGGCCAGCACCCACCCGCTAGCCAGGTCCCCAGAGATGTCTAGGTTACGTTAGAGCTCCCGCAGAGGCAGAAAGCGCGACTGGGGACAGGGAGCCTGGCCCTAGGCCGACGCTGCTACCGCAAGGGCACAACCAGGCTATGGCGGGCGCAGCAGGATCTGGGGCGAGAATTGAGCGGATGGCTTAGGGACGGAGCTCTAGTGCAGTTTCGCATGTCTCGGAATTCCGGACAGCCATTCCTGGCCGCTTCTAACTCGCTTGGCGCAGCGTCTTCTCTGTGCGCCCCCTGCCCCCGTGTCCTGGCTACAGACACCGGAGGAGGCCCGGGGTGCGGGTGTTTGCTTAGTAATTCAGGACGCGCGGGGAGCAGAGTTGCTCTGGGCGAGCTGGCGAGAGGCCAAAGGTCTCAGGACTCTACACCCACCTGCGGGTTTACTAAACTGCATTATACCCAGACGGGATTCGCTTGGCGCGCTCCTTCGAGAAACTGGAAGGAGCCCGACTGCCGCTCTGGAGAGGCAGACCCTTCCTCTACCTAGATACGGTGTGGGTCCCTGTTAGAGCCTGCGCAGTGAGCAGATAAGCCCCGTTTCGCCCCGCACGCCTCGTGCCCCATCAGTGCCCCCAGGCCTTTGCGGCAGCTAGCCAAGCACCTAGGTTGGCTCTCTCCCCCGCCGCTTGGGTACCCGCTTCGTGGCGCTTCTGATGCAGGCCTTTCTCTTTCTCAGGTGAGCCTCATGTTGAACGGGTGGCCGGTGATTTCAGCTTTCGCCGGTGACCAAGACGTGACCCGCGAGGCCGCCAGCAACGGCGTCCTCATCCAGATGGAGAAAGGCGACCGAGCATACCTCAAGCTGGAGCGGGGGAACTTGATGGGGGGCTGGAAGTACTCAACCTTTTCTGGATTCCTCGTGTTTCCCCTCTGACTGGCTCGTAACGGGAATGGAGGCAGGAGAAAGGCAGGAGGGGAGTGAGAAAGAGGCCGAAAATTACCAGGGCGAGGAAGCGGCGCCACCGGAAACTTCCTACGTGTTCCTAGCTACGACTGGGTACAGAGGTGCGCGCCGCCCGCGGTCCAGCTTCGTCCGCTCCCTTACTAAGAGAAGTAAATTTCGCTTAGCTCTGCACACTCTTATTTCCAAAAATAAACTCGCCTCCCCCAAGCCAGTCGCAGTAATCGAGGAAGAGACTGCCTTGTCATTGTTCCTTACCCACGTCCATGTCCCCAACAATTAACGAAGTAATGTGAAATGTTTCTCCCGACCCGACCCCCCCCCCAACCCTGCCACTTACTGAAACTTAGTATGCCCTCCCCCCACCAGTTTGAAGAGGGGATCAGTTTGTTTTCTGTTTCTGTTTTTGAATGGGGCAGGTAGTTTTAATATAACAGGTTTTGCTCTTCAAACACCGCGCGAGTTAAGCTGTGGAGATGTCCTCAGCTGCTTGTTAGCGGAGGAAGGACTCGCCTTCGTGGTGACTGGTTTAACTATACATAAATATGTATATGTATCATTTGTACACGAAGAACTCTTACGGGTGGACTCTGGCTGTATTCCGTATTTCTGTCCTGTTCGGAGTGATCGTGAAATCTAAGGCTGCTTGGTGTTTGTTTTCTGATGCTTGTCAATGCCCCGTGTTCTGTGGCTCCACCAAACGCCAATGAGGTTCTTCGGGACGCTTCCTCTCCCTCTGTAACATACGTGTGAATAGCCAAAATTTAATTTTGCTTTAATCCAATAAAGTCAAAGTGGGACTTTTATTTTTCTGAAACAGCTTTCTAAACTTCGCATTTTCCGGGTTGCGAGGTTGAGGGCTTGGGCTGCCCAAGACGGGCGGAGAAGCAGGAGACTTGGAAGATGCAACCAGAGAGGCCCGGGCACAAGGGGAGTTCTGTGCTTCCTCCCGCAGCAGGCGCGTTCTGCCTTCCTGGTGCCCCCTGCTTTGAAGGAACGAGAGAAATCTGACCCAAATCCTGCAGGGCGTAACTGAGGGCCTGGAAGCATTATTGTCCATCCTCAATTACAAATGCATCAGGAATTATTCCCAATTCCAGGACCCAAACCCGCCTGCCCTGTGTGACAGTGTCCTCGCGCCTACTGTCCCTGGATGTCTCCAGCTCTATCCGCTTCGCAGCTCCCGAAGCACCCTATATTTTGTACCAGCGCCTCTGAACCCGAGGTCCTCCCGCCAAACAACCCCGGGCTCTCAGACCTGCGATTGCGCTCCGTCGCAGGACTTTAAAGGGGTTCGTCCAGAAGTTTTGATTGTATCGAAACGTAATGTGAAAGCAAAATTGAAATAAACGACTTCGTTTTAAGTCTGGAACGCTGAGCCTGTGTTGGGCGCCGGTGATGCAGTGCCAGAAGCGGTTGGAAGCAGAGGGCCCGGGCCCGAGATCCGCGGCCCGGGTGGGCTTCTGTGGTTCTGGGCCCTCCTCCAGGGTTTTTCTTGGGCTAAGATTCAGATTCGAGTTTAAATGGTTCTGGAAGGAAGGATGGGGAAACGGGTTAATAGCAGCGCGGCAGGCAAAATTTCTGGTATTTTTGCCTTCTGCTCCCACTGATCGCTTCACAAACACCACCGGGCTGGGAACTTCAGTCCTGTTTCTCAATCACACAATCTAAGGTGCCTTGGCAGCAGCACCCTTCACAGACCCAGGGGACTGTGGGGGACCACAGGGGCTTCCGAAGTGAGACATAATCGAGTGCTGGTTTATTGCATCCCCACAGGTCTCCTCCCTGCTTCAGTCCCACCGGAAGGAAGAGGCGCCTTACAGGAATTTAGTGGAAAAGCGATTCTTTCCTTTTTTTTCTTTTTAGTAAGAGCTTTGTCTTCAGGCTTCATGCTGGGAAGGAGAGGTCAAGGACAATGGGAGTCTGCCAGGGAACTACCTTTACCAACCACTCAACTGTGCAGAGCCTACCCTCCAAAGTGGAGAGGCCAGCTCCACCGCTCCCGGCTTACACACAGGCTGTGGGGGTTAAGTGCCTGCTACACCTGCAAGCTGCTTCCAGAACATCTTGGAGCTCAGGGAGCTTCCAGAATGCTGTCCATTCCTCTTCCTGAGGGCAGAACCATCCCAGTTCTAGTGGCCAGGCCTCTGATGCTGGGGAACCACTAGACTGAGTTCCACCTGGGTAACATGGGCAAGTCTCTCTGCCCTCAGGTTGCCCTTCTGCATAAAGGCAGGGAGGAGTCTAAACATCTCCAGAGTCCCTCCTTCTCTGAGGACCCAACCATTCTCTGGTCTAGAGCCAGGGGCCTGCAGGCTCCATTGCCTCAGTGAGTAGCTGGCACTACACTAACTGGGAAGGGGGCAGGAGGCTGTGGGTCCCCACTGGGGCCCAGATCAGAGTCTCAGCAAGTGAAGGCAGAGCCAGTGGACCAGGGGAAAGAAGAGGCAAAGTTCTCTCTGATTCTGCTCCAGCTCTACCTGGCCCCTGGTAGGATCTGGTCCATGCTCCTGAGGTTGGCATTGAAACCCCTTAGCATCCGGTTCCACATCTCTTCCTTCACATGTCAGGCCCCTCCCAGTGCCCTTTGACTATCCGTCTCCCGTGCCTCTCTGTGTACCTACACATGCTACCCCAGCCTTGAAGTTGAAGCTGCTCTTTCTTTCCTTTGTTTTTCAAAATCCCATTCCACAGAGCACCTAAGTTCGGCTAAAAGGCTGCCTTTTCTTGGGAGCTGCCCCAATCCACAGAGCAGGTGATGCTCTCCCTAGGAGGCTTTCTGCCCACTTGCTCCTTGCCCTCCAGGGAGGGCCCGATGTGGTGCTGGCAGGGAAGGAGCCACTTGGGGCTGGGCTTGTCTCCCTGTTGCTTTGGGTTTCACATGGAACGGCCACCCACATTGCCTGGGCAGGGTGGTGGACA